CGTTCGCCTCTTTTCGGGGTTATAATGTACTACATTCAGAAACGACGACTTGCGTTTCGAGGTAGTACTAGAACACAGCTTCAGTGTTACTTGCTTCTCAAAGAAAAACAATCTAGTGGGAAACCCAAATTATGATCATAGCTCCCTAAGAAACCTGTACCGACGATTGGATCCATCAGCATTCTGCATACCTACCCAATCAGACATCCTCTACTTCCTATTCAAAGCCTTCAAGTCTATCCCACTTCTTCAGAAAACTGTCCAGCTCCGCCTCATCGAGGGTGCGGTCCCCACCCGTCTCGGACAAAGAGCTAAGATTCGGATAAAGGCTGCGAAACTGATCTCGAAGGCCCTCATCCCACATCTTCTGGAAATCCGCAAACAAAGCACGAGTCTCTGGCGGGAGTATGAACCCATTTTTCTGCGCAGAAACCTGCAACATCCGCAAAATACCCTTCATAAGAGTCCATTTCTGGGAAAATGCACGAGCGGTAACACAGAGTTCTGTGAAGGCATTGCGATGCTCGCTGTTGTCGAGTTCCTCGACCAGGGTGAAGAGGGCCATACTTACCCAGTGAATGGTAGTCGGTGAAATGTGATCCGGTCCCCACCGGGTTCGATGAATGCGTAGAAGATTGACGATTGCTAGGGCGGAATCCACGCATGCTTTCTTTGCTGCTTCGCGGGTTATCTTGATATTGTTTTCATCTTCTGTGTCTTCCTTTTTGAGGAGACCCCAGAGCACTATTACCACGGTGTGATAGAGCATGCTGGATGTAGGTGGGTTGGTCAGTAGCAAGATTTTAATCCATGGTGTTGCGGGTTCCGGGGCGGATCATGGTCCTTACTGCAAACTCAACGATTGAGGAATAGTGGCATTGTCGAGAGTTAGGCATGTAGGAAGGTCATTCCTCCAGCCATCTAGCCGTGCTTGAATAGCTTCCAGGGTCTTCTCTAGTGCGCCTGGTGGTGTTTTGAGGCCAGTTGCGAAGACGAGTCGACTCGCATTCACGTTGATCTCACTTAGCGCAGTAAAGCTGTTCAGCACACAGGGGATGTGAGATTGAACTGTGTCCACTTGCCGCGGGTACGCGGCCCAGGTATCATCCTCGAAATGATCGCATGGAAGGAGGTGTCGATTTGGACGATCAATAGCCATATGCTTCATGAGCGAAATCGATGCCGTTCTAGGACATAGCCTAGGGTTAGGAAACAAAGGGAGTACTACCAGGTGTGAGCTAGACTTACGCTGTAAGATTATAGATTCCCCATATGGTGTTGTCAATTGCGCGACTCTCCCTGGTAGGGGTATCAGACGGCGAGTTAGGATGCTTCTTGGCGTATTCCTCAGCCATGCTGCGAACTTGGCCGAGATACCACCAACCCATGCGGTCCTTTCCCATAATCGCCATACTGTATACTTCGGTTTCAATGACCGTGCAAGAAAACTTATTGGGGGGATCGCTCACCACACAAACAGCACTCCGCATCCTTGAATAGTTGGCATATCAAGCCGACCCTCTATCTTCTCGTAGAGCTTCCGCGCTTCCTCGTAAAAATGTATACCCCTTGAATCTGGATTATTGGGGTCGGCGTACGCTTCCGGGTAATCGAAGTGAAACTGAATTTGCCAATTAGCTGACCACAAACATAGGCTCTGTGATGACTTGAGAGCTTACGCATGCTTCGGCAAGAATGCAATTCACTAGAAACGGTGAACAGAATTGAGAATTCAACTTCCCTTCTTGAGCGTCACGAAGGAAGAGCTCTCGATCAATCCAATTATAGAACGGATAACTCCAGGTCAACCATAGGGAGATCAGGTGAGATACAAAATCATCACTTTCAGTGACTGAGGTCCACGGGGCGGCTGGAATGCGATAGACCGGTATATCCACAAGACGCTGGATAGTCAGTGCCCTATGCGAGTACGTGCGTTTGTTTCCGTTTTCCAGCATCGACGTTTGATTGTAGATTTCAGCCAAGGATGGTGCGGTCTCTCGCTCAGGCTCGGAGATGTTCTTATCTATGTAAAGCTTAATTTTGCTGAGTGGTGTCTTACTTCGGATGAGATTCAGCACTTGCATAGCCTTAGCATCAGAGCTATTCTGCAATGTCTTAATCAACTGCAGCAAGTCATTGCGCTCTTCCTCTAGCTTTTCAATCTTCCGCTTGTGAGCCAGCTTCCGCGGCATGTCTTCTTCCAGGTCGAACACACACGAGAGGTGACGTTCGGTGCATCGGTCGCACTCGGAGGTGCCTTCTCTGATTTGACACTGTTATATTTCAGCGTCAAAACTTAGACATGTAAGGACTTCAAGAATTGATGCCACCCTCGCCTTAGTTCGCTTGCACTCCCGGCATGCTGTTGATGCCTTGCGAAGTCGAGGGACCGAGGCATTGGGGGTAGAGGAAGGGTCAGAGGTATCTAGGCGCCGTGGAGCCGGAGTAATGGGCTGCATTATGGCAATGTTGGGAGACAAATATTGGAGGTTGATAGTGCGGTCGACAAATAAGTGTCAGTAGTCCTTGCCAATGGCACGGAGTTATAGTTGGAGAAGGAGTTGTGCTGGTAATACAGGGTCAAACCTGTCAGCCAAGGGGGTCCCGTGGAGCGGCGATGGATAATTCATCCGCCCGTAGAATCCGGTTTTCGATCTGTACAAGGGTGGATCACTCTACTGTGTAGGGATCAGTCGCAGGTTGCTGATTGGGTTGTTGAACATCTATGGCTTGCGCTAGTAGCCCATCGCCGGTGACGCTGGGGATACCCATATTGTCTGTTCTGACCGCCTCGATACAGCAGTTATGGACGGGAGGTTCCTGTAATAGGCTCTCATACATTAATTATCTGATAGACATCTTCGAGTGAAGACAAAACGTATAAGCTTCAACATGCACTTGATTAGCGTGAGCGCATCTGTCAATTTGTCGTGGAAACATCCAATAGTCAGGATCCTCGTCCCCACGTGGCCTATGAGACAGAGCATGTGCCTATAAGTAGATGGGTCCTGCCTTCGAAAACGGTTATTTGAATTGACTTGTGAATTGTCTGTTATCTGTCTATGCATTTTTGTGTCCCCTCATGACCCAGATATGTGGCTGGTATTACTCATAATCTGCTCATAACTAGGCAGTTTTCGCGCTCATACGTGAAGGGCATGGTATATTCCAAATAATCATTCAATAGATAATTTGCTCACAAGTCACTGTATCTGATAACCAGCAGGTACTAAAAATAACGTACTCACAGAAAGCCGTTATAATGGCTTCGATGGGGTGTCTTGTACTGGACTTTTTCATGTCATCGACCACACATCCAAGACGATAATGCTCTTGATAGCAACCAACTTGTAACAACAGTTCTTTTGTGTCACAAATACTCCCACCGAAATCACAATCACCACCAGTCACAGCACCACGATCCTTAACAACACAATGTCCGAAGTCTTCGGCCCATACTTGCCGGACTGTGATGTTGTTCGCTGGGCCGAGCGCTTGAAACAGGTTCTCACCGAAAAACACAACCCTATCACCCGTTCGAAAACCCAAAGTGGCTTTCACCTTCTCGACTACACTATCGTCTACAAAAGAAGATTTTTCGAGGGAAAGAGCGCGTACGAGACATGCAAATTCGTGCACAAGGACTACAATGATATCATCATTCTCGTCGGCTGCGATGCAGAACCAAGCACTGGATTACCAACGGCTGTGTTTTTGGACGCAAGAGCGCACGAATTGTGTGCTGAGACTGCCTCAAGATTGCCGCTTGATAAAGGTCTATATGTTGCCAAAGTGTGGCAGGGACACGTACACTTTTTCAGGGCCGTGCGTTCATTCGGCGGTTCTTTTGCTATGCATCCCATTGTTAGGGGGGATAGGTGGCTACTGGATGGGGATGCCGACTTGGTTTATGATATCTTGAACGAGATCAGAGCACAGTTTGGCTTCCATTCTCTCCATGAACCTTTGGTGCGGTTGAGCTCGCTGGAGAACTACAAGGTGTTGGAGGAGACCTCCAGAATCATGCCTGAGATTGGCTTGAAGGTTGATTATGGCGCTTGAATCGCTGATACTTATTATGAGGGAAATTCTGGTTCTGGATAAAATAAAGAAGAAGCCCTGAACTCAGTCGCCGGGGATAAGGCTAGAGAGTGTTATGATTTTGTTTTGTGATCAGTGTGTTTTGTCTCTAGGGTAGGGCATATGGCGTGTACTTCAAAACATTCCCTTGCTTTGGAAACACTCTAATTTCTAGTACGGACTGCACCAATACTATGATAGCCTTTGCTTTGCACACTTTGTGGACTATCTTTGCATTTGATTGTATAGCCCGCATAAGAGCGCGGAACCCCACACATTCGATTATTCACACATATATCACACTGACTGGAATAACTTGACGTGAAGGCACGAATTTGAATATCATAGCCTGGAATTCTGCATACTCGAAGCGCTTTATGCTGTGAATATGTACATAATGATCAGACGGAAATGTTGGAAGTGAACATTGTTCACAGATTAACAAGGAATCATTCCCTGCCCCAACAGTCGAAACCACCTATAAAAGCTTGGCCTGGGCCACCTGGGATGTCCTGTCTTTCCTTTTTCCCTTTCTCTCTTCATCAATAGTCTTTCTATCAGGTTTTATATAAATATATGGCATTGATAATACTAATAATACTGCCTATATTCTGCATAAAACCCATCATCAAGTGTCAGACATTCACATAGTATAATCGGGCCCAAAGGCTTCCGTGGAAGAACATAATATTGACACACCAGATTATCTAATTGTACCCTTCTACCTAGATACAACTGCTTATCCACAGTATCTCAACTCAGGACTCAGTGCTCTGCGGAGATTATCCAAGACATGGATTTCGTGTCCAGCATACACAGAAAATAAATCCCATACGCAGATTTCCACAATATACACCCTCGTTGATACCAGGGAAAGACATAGTGCATATACATTGCACTTCTTCCATCTCATCGGCATGATTGGTCCACTTGCACTTCGAGGACATGAGCCCTGGGGCCAAGAATCTTTTCATATACGGCATGTACTGACCGCACGCTATGTAGCCGACTACGACAATGACAATCCGACCGACACCAGAAAGAGGAATATACCCTTGTCGTCCGAAGTACTCGATATAGATATCATGACAGAAGGGATTCTACTAGCCGAGGCACATACTCGAGCCCGTATCGGTGCCATCTTATTCAAAACACTGGCAATAGCGGAAAAGAAAGACGGTATGACTCAGGAAAAGGTGTCTTCTTCCTCCACCCAATCCGCTCAATCGGTCCTCCTTCAATACGCGACGCATATGATGATGCCTTCGGGATTATTCAATAAAAAGAGAGACTTAGTGTCAGGTAGAACCGACTACTCGCTCTGGTATGGGGGTCCGAGCGAGATGGAAGTAGACTTCGTCGTTTCGGAGGCTGGGATACTGGGAGGTTTGAGCATCTAACACATGCTGTTATACATGAGTGAGAGTGGCTCATGTTAGAAGCAATCCTTCCAGGTCTAAAAGGCAAGGCAAGGGAAACGAGGTTGAGTTTACATTATGGAATACGAAGGAAAGCAATGTAACTGACAAAATGATCAAGAGGTACTCCGATTTGGCAGAGACGGAGTCACAGGCTCGGACTTCATAAAAGACTCATTGTCCAATTAAGCGAACGACAAACCTGGCGCTAGTAAATCTTGCCGGTGTTTTCTTTAGGCAACTCGGAGGTAACGACAAATGGCAATTGAAGAATTATCTCATTATACTGTAAAATAGTAGTAATATTGATAGTAGATTTTATAGACCCTTTGCTAAAATAGTACTTGGTTTCAACTGTAGCTTAACTCATCTCATAAAATTTCACATATAGCCTCAGTTTAGAATCATGAATGATGACTATGGCCCCTATGTAATAGCCCAGGCAAAGTATTCCATTCCAGTATCAGCATACATAATTGCGTATTCCATAGATTATCATAGGACATGTACTTAAATAGGTCCTTCTGTTCCGGAAGCAGAGCTATGAATGGGAACTGGGAGAGGCAATAGAGGTTATATCGACCATGAAATGTATAATTGCCCACGCTACCGGGTTAGTCGATGGCCTGGCGCGTTGCAGTAGCTTGGAAGACATGAGCCGGCTTGAATTCATGCCCTCTTAGTAATGAGCGGGTCCAGAAGGAAGACAATGTGAGAGGGAGACTCGGAGCAATATCACTATTTATAAAATCCTTCGTCTTCATAGAGAAATAGTGTCCGACCGGTAGGATCTGCTTCCGACGCAGTGATAGTCATCCCTAGAAATCCACTTGATAAGAATTCCATCATGTTGTAAATCCATAATCTCCAGAAATTCTGATGTAAGACTAGCCCTTCTGATAGCTTACGGGGAATATATGCTATAGACGTGCTAGCAATTACGTCAAGACGGGATAATGGGGTCTCATTTTCAGTCAACAATCTGATCTTGTCTTCTAGAAGGGCTGACGGACAAAGCCGAATCCTCACCTCAGTAATTACCAAAGAAGTGACTAGAATCCATGTTGTAATAATATCGCCACTGCCATGAAAGATTGCGATTTCTGCTGCACGATGCATGGGAGATCAGACATTTCAAAACTTCATACATATCCCCTCAACCAACCAACAAGACGTGAGCCAGCGGACTGCATCGCCGCGCTTTCAACACAACAAGAAAATCCCGAGAGCGATATGGCCGGAGCTGAGATAAGCTGCAGTGGAATCTTGATGACATTTGAAATGGTGGTACGAAGGAGTGACTGAAGGTCTGACAGATATTCTCCGCTCTGCGAGGGGAAAGGTTATGGCCCGATGCCAAGTGTTGGGATACGGAAATATGTAGAGGAGAAATAGAAAATTGTGTTTTGGATCTTTCAGTTTTGGAGATGACATCGTATGATTATGCGAGTTCGTAAGGGTTGCTTTTTTCCTGGGTGGGTTTGTAATGCTGGTGTAGACATCAATGCATGTCTGCCCAGTTTCGGTGCATATTCAAGCTACGTAGTAGACGAATGTTAAGCATGAAGTTGTAAACTAGTCGGCCAATGATATAAAAGAACATCATGTCCCCGAAGTGTAGTAGTATCGTATTCGCGGTCTTCATTTTCCTTCCTAGGATATATAGCACTGGGCTTTGCATATCATCTTACATCATCTCATCTTTTTACCAAGTCATCCCTTCCCCGAGAGATATCTCACATCCCACGTCCCCTAACACACGAGGGGAATCATCCGCAAGGACAAGAATATAAATATCCTCCGTGCTTAGTGACCAAACTACGTCAAGATGCATCTCATCCCGCCCATCACCAAGCTCCTTATGACCCTCAACATCATCACAACCACCATGTCCAGCACCACCAGCACCACCCTAGTCCTAACCCGCGACGTCTGCATCATAGGCGGCGGCGCAGCAGGCACCTACGCCGCCATCCGTCTGCAGCAACTTGGCAAATCCGTGGTCATAATTGACCACAAACCGCGCCTGGGCGGACAGACAACAACATACACCAACCCAGCCATCACCCCACTCCCAATCGAATACGGGGTGACCTACTACCAGAATATGTCTATTGTGCGAGATTTCTTCGGTCACTTCAACATCCCGCTGACCTACTCGGCATTTGATTACAAGATCGACATGTTTGATTTCGTCACGGGGACGGCCATACCTGCTACTGCGGAGGCGGAATCTAATGCTGCGATGGATCGTTATATCGCGCAGCTGAGAGAGTACCCGTATCTGAGGGTGGGATTTGAGTTACCTGATCCTGTGCCGGAGGACTTGGTAATGCCTTTCGGAGAGTTCGTGGGCAAGTATAATTTGGAAGCTGGGGTCGGGGATTTGGGAGGCTCGATTGATCCCTTGGGTAATTGGCCAGATCTGCCGGCGCTTTACGTGATGAAGTATGCGAATCTAGAAGTATTGGAGGGAGATAGGAATGGATTTGTGAGGCCGAAGGGGCGAAATAACAGTGAATTGTATGGGGAGGCGGAGAAGGAACTTGGTCAGGAGGGATTGCTTCTGGGGAGTGAGGTTGTCAGCATGGACCGAGATGAAAGTGCGGACTGGGTGTATGTGACAGTGAGTAAGGGAGAGGAGGAGACAACGGTTCAGGCGAAGAGCTTGGTGGTGGCGGTGCAGCCGAGCTTGGACAGTCTGAAAGGGTTCGACCTCGGGGTAATGGAGAAGACTCTGTTTGGACAGTTCAACAATCTGTTCTTCTATACGGCATTAGTGCAAATCAAAGGACTGCCAGACCGGATGTGTTACATGAACCGCGGGGCTAATAATTCGTTCCTGATTCCGCGACTGCCTAGCATGCTGGTGCTCAAGCCTACGGAGGCGTCAGAGCTGAAGGTGGCAAATTATCTCAGCACGAAGGCGTTGTCGGAGGAAGAGGTGAAGCAGGGTATGCTTCACGATATGGAAAGTATTCGCCGGAGGACAGAAGTCGACTTCCCAGACCCAGAGTTCCTCGCCATCGGGGACCACAGCCCATACCAGCTGACGGTGCCGGCCGTGGCGATCAAAAACGGCTTCTACCGTGAGCTCAATGCCCTACAAGGGGAGCGTCGGACATTCTACACTGCGGCCACATGGGAATCTCATAGCACACCGCAGATCTGGGAGTTCACCGAGCAGATGTTGCAAAACCATCTCCTAAAAACTTTGTGATAGATTGGTAGTTGATTAAGGTAGAGATTCCGTGAATATCAGCAGACCCTAGTGTACCACTTCCATCGAGGCCCCGTAGGTCATGAAAATTGGCTTGCGAAAAGGCTGCGGATCCTTGCGAGAGCCACCTGGATCGGAGTAGAGCTGAGATCCTGCCAGACCGCGGAGACGGCATGTAATTTCCGAAGCTCCGTGGATGTGCGCCCATCCGATGGAGCAGGAAAATAACTCGGCAAATCAGCCCAGACTGAAGCCGTCAGCGATGGAGAGCCGGTTGTCAAGGTCGACTGTGAAACGTTGGACAGACGTTGTCATTCCCTCGCACAGACGCTTCGTGACCGATAACCCAGATCGGACATGGCCAATTACATATTCCCCGATCAGGAAGTACGAGATACCAGACCTGCGCACAGACTGTTGTCCCGAGACAGGTGTAACCTTATTCCGACTTCGTGTCGGACAAGACCAACAAAAGTCTATCAGATCATTGCTAAATATTTCATAAAAATCAATTGATTGCCAAATTAATCACGAAATCAACAGACTTCGCTGGGCCGTCCTGCATCAACCCGAGCTGGCCTCATCATACCCAGCAAGTTCTTACTCAACACAACGAAATTTCGCTTCCTGTCTCCACTGCTTCACAATTTCTAACCGCCCGGTCTGGTCGTTAACGGCCAAGAAGGAATTACTGTAGTCTCCGCCAGGAATGATGGGGATAAGCCCGTACTATGATAACCGGGAGGCCACGCGTCAGTTACCGCTGGACCCAATAGCAACGAATGCTGCGACAAGCCAGCTTACCTCCAGTGCGCCATCGCTGAAACCACGTGTCTCAATCCAGATATTATACTCCTGGTTATCATACAGAAAGACGACCTAGAGACGGCTGAGTGAGATGGTGTGTACTCGAGGTAGCAAACGGTGAGTTATTTACCTTGTCTGGGATTCCGAACTTCCCAATCAGCTTTGAGTACAAGAACGAGTCATTAGCTTCCACTGACAACGAATCGGGATACAGAGCAACTAACTCCATCATCGCGACAGAGCCAGAACTCTCCATTAGCTCGGAGCTTATCCCTCAGGCCAGGCTGATGGTCTTTCGGGTGGAGAGTCAGGCGATTGTCGTTATCGATGGCCAGAACGCAGCCGGTGAAGGCAGTGAAGAGACCGGCATGACTTGGCATTTTGCAATGGAAGAACGGTCGGTGCGAGACTTGGAAGCAGCCTTGCGAGCAATGTGATAGTTGCAATTGTGGAATAGAAGCGAAAGGATGGACACCGTAGTTTAAAGCAAGAAGACTTCCTCGGCGTGCTTTATTGCATCCTATGTTGCCGGAAAGTCGAGTCGTACCAAACTAAGCGTTGCACGACATCAGCTCACTGCGACTGGCCATGAGCCTTGATGCCCTCTGTAGAGGTGCTTGCTCCGCTCTTTCCAGGTAATATGGCCGACGGAAATGGGCAAGCCTGCCCGCCCTCTATCAGAAAATAGGCAAGAAATCCGGAGATGATGAAGTCATTCTCATGAACAGGGATGTGCCGCGAATACGAACATTGGATCTCACATCATCTCCAAGAGAATGCCGTCTGAAGTCTCCTGATGTCTCACTGCTAAGCGACTGCAGCGAATGCTGCCAACAGCTAGACTTTATATGACACCGCACGCCTTACATGGCTTATTCGAATCTCCTCGGAATTGCATTCCATTATCCATGATTCCTGTCTTATTCTCCTTCTTTACATTCTGCAGGAAACTCAAGCACAATGGACCAGGCGAGCAATGACAGCAAAAAGACACTTTTCTTTTCCCAGGCAACAGCGAATGCCATGTGGGCTGCCGGAATATCGCCAATGAGCGTGCAAGCGGTCCACCAGGCATCGACATTCCAGGAAGAGAAGGTTCTTGCAACGATTGCGGACAGCAAGCATCAGGTCAATGTGGAAGCACAACATTTCATCTGTCGTGATGAAAGAATCAATGTGGTTCACTTGAACAATGCGGCTCATGCACTGGCCCGGCGACATGTCGTACTACGTTCCCTCTTTTGCCTGGATGATGTTACTACAAAAGGACATCTCAGGCGGATAACAATGGTAGTTCTTGACACAGATTATCCCCAAAAAGATATCAAGCTTGTCAGTGAGCAGGCGACTCAGCATACGGAGGCGGGAATTCCCACATCAATTTTCATGTGCTGGGGTTGCCAGATACTGTGGGAACTTGCCAGTGGCAGGGAGAGATGCCATGGAAGTTAACAATCAGCTCATTGCCTGGCGAGAAAGGCTTTCGTCTATCACTGTGCTACCATACTGCAATCCTGGATGAGTCTTCGGCTTGCCAGCTGTTGCGCTACCTGTGGGGTGAGCTGCAGGCTCCCGGTTCCGCCGTTGTGTCCGACTTCTTTGCGGCCCACAGGGGCCAGGCTTTCCGACGCAGCCGTGATATGCAACGTCGGGTACAAGAGAGATTGCCGAGTGCACCACCTCTCCTAGCTAGCTTTGGTAGCACAAAGCCACTTGACAAGGAGGGGTATGGTGTCACGATTGGCAAAGTTGCTATGCCTTACCCTCGGGCTGTTGGCCCACAGATAGCACGGCAGGCCATATATATGGCACTCTGTACATTTGCCAGAACACAAGAGGCCACATTTTTAGAGTTAACGTCGCACAGGGGACTACTTCCCTCAACCCATAGAGATGTTCTGGGTCCAGTTCTAGTGCCTCAGTTTCGGTGGGCTCAACATGATAGCTACACAGCACTCTCCAATATTGCTGAGAGCCTAGCTTCGGGCTGCGACATCCACCACAACTTCTCACCTGGCGAGCTGTGCTCCTTCATTTCAGACTCATCGCACCGAACTTTTGTGTCTCTCGTTTGTCATACAGATTCATGTGCTTCCACTGGAGTGGAACCCTGGACCTGGGAAGGCAAAGAGTCATGGTCGGATGTCCCTTTGGAAATCGAGCTACTTCCATGTGGTGGGGACTCCTACCTCGTCCGCATTTGCTACCACAATAATCGGTTCAGAGACAACACCATTGTGGCATTCCGACAATTTCTTTGCGCATCTCTTGAGTGGCAACAGCATACGCATGGTGCGTGGCGAAACACTACTTTCGTGTCTGCGGTCGACCATGTCCTTTGTTCATGTCCCGATGTCACAGCTTACCTGACAAATCAGGAAAGAATTCAGACTGGAATTGGGCCCGTTGGTGGGTCATTAGGGGTCGACATCCCAAGCAACACATTAGAAATCACCATAGAGGAGTGCGAGAGACCAAATAGCCTGTGCCTTGCGCATCACTTGCTCGAGCAGAGTGTTAGAAGGTTTCCAGAGAAAATTGCGCTGCAATATAGATTTACCGATTATTTGACATATCGGGACTTGAATGATCACTGTGACCTAGTTGCTGGTGCGTTGGCATGCTGGATCCAGCATACTTACCCAGTGTCTCCCGATGATGAAATTGTTATACCGATCTCATTTGACAAAGGGTTCGAGCTGGTTATAGCTATGTTCTCGGTGCTGAAGGCAGGGGCGGCTTTCGTACATATCGATGCGAGCCTACCAGCTGACAGAATAGCGGGCATCATTCGGAAGACGGGAGCACCATTCATTCTTTACGATGGAAAGACTGATACAGATAAGCTGAACGAAGTTGCCAGGAGGGAAGGCAAGGCAATCGTTGCGCTTAATGATTTGAGCAAGGCGCAGGATCAACCTCAACTTCCGTTTACCCGAAAGGTACAACTGCCTTCCTCGCTCGCGTACATCCAAGTGACATCCGGAACGACTGGGGAGCCGAAATGTATCATGATAGAACACTGCAACTTGGTGGCTTTTATGGAAGCCGACGAGCCGGAGTTTTTGGGAAGTTGGACGACCAGCAAACTGCAGTTGTCAAATCGTACCTTTGACATAGCCATGGCGGACATATTTGGCACTCTGGGTTGTGGAGGAAGGTTAGTCCTCGGTCCAGATGCAGAGATACTGTCCTCTCTGGCAGAATGGCTGGAGATGACCAGTGTGACGGACCTGAATACGTCTCCCTTGGTTGCAGACTTGCTAAAGAACAATGTCCCAGCTCATCTAAGCGTCCTGATGGTCGGCGGAGAGCCCTTCCACCCATCTCTGATAAGAGACATCCCTAAGGAATGCCGATTATACAACAACTATGGCCCAAGCGAAACGACATTCGTAGCCACAACATACACTGTATCAGAGGAGGATGCAAATAATTCAAACGTGCCAATCGGTCGCTCTTTCGGATCCTGTAAAATTCATCTCCTGGAACCTGAAAGTGCGGAGCGGGTCAAAAGCGGAGACATTGGCGAAATATGTATCAGTGGGCCGCAAGTATCCAGAGGGTACCTGGGACAGCCTGCGCTTACTGACAAAAGCTTTTTCCCCGACCATTATGTCAAAGATGCAAAATGCAAGCTGTATCGCACTGAAGACCTTGGGCGATTTTTACCCGACGGAAGGCTTGAGTATGCCGGGCGCAAAGATAGGCAAGTGAAACTTCGAGGGCAGCGCGTCGAGACACTCGAAATAGAAATGGTGATTCGGAGAAACCCTCGAGTGAAGGCTTGCGCAGTCACCACAGGCGAATCAATCCATGGGATGGCCCTCGTTGCATTCATTGAAACACAGCTGAACCAAGAGCCATCCACCGACGCGACACCTGAAGAGCTGAGCTGGGCAAGCCTGATATCCGAGATCAAGGCCAACTTATCCCAGAGCCTGCCAGACTATATGATACCAGGGTGCATTGTGAAGCTCAAAGATGGCTTACCTCGTCTAGCGAGCAACAAGCTTGATCAGAAAGCACTGTTATCTCGAGCAACAGAAGTGCTAGCAAGCCAAGCGTTCCAAGCGGCAGTGGAATACGTCCCTCCACGGGACGAAGTGGAAAGGCATGTCTGTGAAGCTTTTGGCGACGTTCTTTCTTGCCAGGTTGGTATTACAAACAGTTTTCTGGACCTCGGAGGGCACTCTGTCACAGCGATTCGGGTCGCGGGTAAAATAAGGAAACAGCTCCGCACTGATATTACCTTCCGGGATGTGCTGGAATTCTTGACACCAGAAACTCTCAGTGCGCGGATTCGCGCTTCTGCGGAAGATATACAGCAAGGTCCAGCGACATATCGAACGCCAGATAGCATGGTTGTTCAGCAATCGTTCGCACAGGGGCGTTTATGGTTCTTGGAACAGCTTCATCCAAATCTGAGCTGGTATCACATGCCACTTGCATTCAGGCTGCGAGGACGATTGCACCTCAACGCCTTGGAGGCCGCCTTGCTAGCACTTGAAAAGCGTCACGAAACGCTGCGAACGACATTCGACGTGAGGGGCGACATGAATGTCCAAGTAGTCCATCCTTTCCAAGCCAAAAATATTCGAATGTTGGATCTTGCTGGGAACCCTGGTAGCGAAGAGGGGCTTTACTCGGTTCTCTGCCGTGAACAGACAAAGCCTTTCAATCTCATGGACGAACCCGGGTGGAGAGTAGCTGTGGTGCGAGTTAGCTCTCAAGAACATATTCTCTCCCTTGTTATCCATCATATAATTGCGGATGGTTGGTCGTTGGGGGTGGTTCTGCGAGAGCTGGCATTATTCTATTCTGAGAGCCTCCGTGGGAAAGATCCCTTGTTACAATTACCGGCCCTTCCTATCCAATACCGAGGGTACTCGCTATGGCAACGTGAGGAAGAACAGCTCCGGCAGCAGCAACGCCAACTAGCGTATTGGACGCGACAGCTGCGAGGCAGCCACCCAGCCGAGTTTCCGTGTGATAAGTCTCGACCTCCTGTGCCATCAGGACAGGCTGCTGTGAGGGGAATTAAGATCGCAGGTGCTTTATACAGGGAGTTGGCGAGGTTCTGCAGGCGACATCTTATAACACCATTCATTGTTCTCCTTGCAGCCTTTCGAGCAGCTCATTACCGAATGACACGGGCACCTGACGCGACGATCGGCACTCCAATAACAAATCGCAACCGCGAAGAACATGAAGGAATAGTTGGACTGTTCGTGAACATGCAGTGTATGAGAATTGAAGTTTCAGAGACCGATTCCTTTGAGGTACTAGTTAAACGGGTAAAGGAGATAGCAGCAGCAGCATTCGCACACAACGAGGTCCCATTTGAGAGGATCGTCTCCGAGCTACAGCCGACGCGGGAGAGTTCACGCAATCCACTGATACAAACGATATTCGCATTTCATCCAGAGCGTGTTGACAAGATTGGTCTTGAAGGCATCGACTCAGAACTGATGGGGTTGACACATGTGACAAGGTTCGACCTCGAATTTCACGTCTACCAGTGTGAAGAAGGCCTGGAAGGCGATATAATATTCGCTATTGAGCTTTTCCATGATCGAACGATCGATATGTTGCTATCGATCTTTCAAGATATACTGAGAGTAGGATTAGAAAAGCCACATGCGGATATTGAAACAATTCCTCTGTCGAGTGATACTTCCGCACTTGCCGACAAGGGCTTGTTGGAAGCTCCTTCCTCCCAATACCCGCGATACTCAAGTATAATCGATGTTTTCTCCCAGCAGGTAGCTGCACAGCCGGATAGAATAGCTATCAAGGACAATTTGTGTTATTGGACTTATGCAAGGCTTGACTTGGAGTCCGACAAAATGGCTAGATTCTTGCGTGATTTGGACCTCCCCAAAGAGACTGTGATCACGGTTTTCGCAGAACGATCGTGCGAGACCATCGCAGCCTTTTTGGGCATACTCAAGGCAAACATGGCCTATCTTCCCTTAGATATCAAGTTCCCGGCTGGTCGGATAGAGTCCATCCTTTCATTTATTGAAGGCAATAGACTTGTTCTGGTCGGCTCCGGATGTCAATTCCCAATTATGCACATGGATCGGGTGGACATTGTCCCCATGGTACGACTGTCGACTGGTGTTTCTCTTAACTCAGCATATAACGAAGGTACATTGCCTAGTCCCAATAGCCTAGCATACGTTATGTTCACCTCCGGCTCCACCGGCCAACCAAAAGGGGTCATGATTGAGCACAGAGCAGTTGTGTCACGTGTGAAGGGTTGCAATATGCTCGAGAATGGGATTGCTGCAGAGCCATTTGCGCATCTTTCCAGTATTGCTTTTGATGCTGCAGTTTGGGAGATATACACTCCCCTACTCAACGGCGGCACTGTCATTTGCATTGACAGTATTAGAGTCACGGACTTTGAAGCATTGTCCAACGTCTTTCATACTGAAGGCATTCGTGTAGCACTTATTACACCTGCCCTGCTAAAACAGCTTCTCGCACAGTCATCGGCTTCAATCTCTGGGCTTCACACACTGGTCGTTGGCGGGGATCGAGCGGATCCCAAGGACATGATCAAAGCAGGCGAGCTAGTTCAATGTGATGTCATAAACGCTTATGGCCCAACGGAGAATACCGTTATCAGCACCTTTTATCGACTTTCACAAGGCGAAGAATATCATAACGGTGTACCAATTGGACAAGCAGGAACAGCCTCCGGAGCGTATGTTGTGGATCAGCAACTATGTCTAGTGCCACCTGGTGTAATCGGTGAACTCGTCGTTGTCGGGGATGGCCTAGCGCGTGGCTATGTTGACGCACGAAGGGATGTGAATCGTTTCGTCAACATTAATATCGGCGGTCAGATGCTGAGGGCGTATCGCACGGGTGACCGAGTACGTTGCCGTCCGCCAGACGGACAACTTGAATATATTGGCCGGTTGGATGGCCAGGTCAAGATTCGAGGATTCCGTGTTGAGACCGAGGAGATCGAGCACGTTCTCCGCAGTTCGGGACTAGTCGGAAACGCCGCAGTGCTCTTCCAGCAGCCTGATGATTATGAGGCCCGGCTAGTAGCTTTTGTCACGCTGTTGAAGGAAGGCGACAACCAAGGTCCCATGGATGAAACAACAAGGTGTAGAAGAGAAAGGGAATCAGAACAGGCTTGGAAACAAATCTTCAGTGAAGTCACTTATGACAGCCAGATCGACCCTCGTGACGCCGGTAGGGACTTCTCTGGATGGAAGTCAATGTACGATGGTACCGACATCGACAAGAAAGAAATGGGGGAATGGCTGAACGACACAATCACAACGTTGCTCAATGGTGCACCGCCAGGAAATGTGGTCGAGATTGGGACGGGCTCAGGGATGGTTCTCTTCAACATTGCAAACGACCTGCAGACCTATGTCGGACTTGAACCGGTACAGTCGATAGTGGAATTTGTCAAGACAATGATAGACAAAGTTGATCCGACACTAGCAAGCAAAGTACAGCTACACGTCGGAAGCGCCAGTGACTTGGACAAGATATCGTCCAACATTGTATCGCCCGATCTTGTGGTGGTGAATTCTGTTGCGCAGTATTTCCCCAGTGCGGAATACCTGTCCAGGCTCATCCTGGAACTTCTGCGAAAGCATCAGGCCAAGACCCTCTTCTTCGGAGACATACGTTCATATGCACTATATGCTCAGTTCCAGGTCACCAAGGCCCTGCATGGAAAAGGCGAAACTAGTCCTGAATACATCCGTCAAAGTATGGAAGATACTGTGGCGAATGAAACAGAGCTGTTGATTGACCCTGCCTTCTTCACGTCTCTAGCAGCTAGATTCCCATATCTCATCCACCACGTTGAAATACTTCCAAAAAGGATGCGGGCGACGAACGAACTAAGTTGCTATCGTTATTCGGCCATTATTCATGCTGTGCGACAGGACTACCTCCCGATTATTCACACAGTAGATGCAGACCAGTGGATCGACTACAGCTCCCAAGGTTTAAGCGGGGACGGGCTCTTGGGGCTATTAATGGAGAGCTCGGAAGCAGCTGTTGTAGCTATCGCCAACATTCCGTACAGCAAGACTCTTCTTGAGAGACTAGTCGTCGAGGAATTATCCAAACAGACAATTATTACAGACACTAATTGGTTATCATCGGTCCGTCAGAGAGCAGATGAGCTTAATGGACTTTCGGCAGTGGATCTTGTTGATCTGGGTAACTTGGCAGGCTTCTATGTGGAGTTGAGTTGGGCGCGCCAATTTTCCCAACACGGAGGACTGGACGCCATCTTTCACCGCATTGGAACCCCGTATGGACGACAAAGGCCCATGTTTCGATTCCACACGGATCATGAAGGTCGCTTAAATCGGGAGTTCAACAATTCACCGATTCACGGTCCGTCGGCACGCCATATCGAAAGGGACCTCCAGCAAATTCTGAAATCACGCCTGCCTTGGTACATGGTTCCGGCCATGATACGGATCCTTGACGACATGCCTACCAATCACAGTGGCAAGATAGACAGACGAGCTCTGTCTGATATTGCGGCCACAATAACACCTAGACAGGTACCCGTTGACATGCCCTGCGTGCGTCCGAGCAATAAGTTCGAAGTGGTCGTCTGTGAAGAATTCGGTTATGTCCTTGGATGTGAGGTGGGCGTTACAGAGAATTTCTTCGACCTTGGTGGGCACTCCTTGATGGCAACAAGAGCAATATCGAAGATTGTTCAGCGAACACAGTGTGCCATCACGGTCCGAGACCTTTTTGACTGCCCAACGCCAGGAGCTTTGGCAAGCAGGATTTCACAAGTTTGGTACGGCAGGGGCGATGAAGACGCAGAAGGTAACGGAGTTCAAAACATTGATGAGTCTACTGATTGTGAGCCTGTCGTGCACGATGGATGGGACCAGGCTGTGGATGCGGTCGGGTTTTGCGCAGAGGACGTGGTGCACATAATGCCATGTTCTCCTTTTCAGGAGGGTGTCCTTGCTGCCGACCTCGTCCTGGGAGACCAACCCGCTTATTTGGCCACCATGAAGCTGAAATTTGACGGACACTTGGAAGTGGATATGTTGCAGTCAGCGTGGCGTTCAACAGTAGCACGAGAGGAGATGCTTCGAACAGCCTTCGTACCATCCCCGCAAAATTTGTCCATAAATGGATTCTGCAGTGGAGCCTTTCTGCAGGCCGTCCTCCGTTGTGATTCCAACGAAGTGGAAAGGGTCTCGACGCTGCGGCAGCAGGAGTTCGATCCACAGCCTGAGCTGGGGATGGGTCATATACCAGTTTCATTGGCATTAAGACAAAATGATGCACCAGGTGCAATCACAATTGAGTTGACGATGCATCACGCACTGTATGACGAAGCCTATTTATCTTGTGTTCTGGATGGGCTGTCTCGTGAATATCACCATACACACGATACTAGCCCAACAAACGATGGCCAGGACAGTCACATGCCGTTCGCAGCGTTCATTCACACGTTGCAAAAGAAGGATCGATCGGTAGCCTCCTCCTTTTGGAAAGAATACCTACATGGGACGCCAACATGTACCTGGCCAATTTCATGCGGTCTCAGAGGTCCTATGAATGGAGGTCAAATCCCACAGGAAGCTTGTGCTGAATGGAATGGAGATGCAGAAGCACTGTCAAGAATCTACGGCACCACCCCTGCCAGTATTGTGAGAGCGGCTTTGGCTTTGTCCATTGCTGTACACAGCGAATCTGACGACGTTATCTTCGGTGAGGTGTCGAGTGGCCGGGCTCATTCAGAGTTCGTCAAAGGCCCCTGCATCGCCACGCACCCGGTACGAATTTCGCTCCAAGCGGATGCAATGCAGCATTATAAGGAAGGACCACAAGGGACAGTTTTTATGGAAACGCTCCTCACGCGCAGCCGAGATGCGTTCTTGGACACGATGCCATATCAGCAAGTTGGACTCGAATCTATTCGACGGTTGTCTGAGAATCCTGACTTACTTCCTTTTCAGGTGCTCTTTGTTTTCCAGGGACAAGTTGCAAATGCCAAGAATCATGGAAGTTCATGGAGCCGATTCCATATGGCTGACGATAAGTTGAAACATACCGACTTTCCCTTAGTGCTGGAAGCGTTCTGTGAAGAGCTCACAGGTCATCTTCACATGCGATGTGTGTTTGATCCGGTGGCAATACTTCCGGCAGATGCAGATTGGGTGTTACAGCACATCATTGATTCGATTGACCTCATGCAAACATGTTCCATGCGACAGCAAGGAGAACGACGCCCTGAGGCTAAGCTCGTCATCACAGAGCGAGAGAAGATTGCCATCGGGCAATTGTTGGGCCACGAAAATATGGAATCCTCTTCTGACGACGGTGGTGCGTTGTCTACCGCTGTCGAACTCTTTCGCAAGCGCGCAATGGAAATGCCGGAGAAAATTGCTTTGCAGGTCCAAAGAAGCGATTTTGTCACGTTCAGACAACTCGACGATCTAAGTAATCAGATTGCTGTAGGCCTTGAAGGAATGCTAAACTATCAAACAAGTGAGACCTCCAGGCAGAGATGCGTGCCGATCTTTTTCGAGAAGTCATTCCACATGGTTAGCGCCATTTTCGGCATCCTGAAGGCCGGAGCGGCTGTTGTTCCCATGGACATTCAACATCCGATGCAGAGGCTAGAGACAATATGCAGAACAACCGCAGCCACTGTCTTCCTTTGGGATGGTATGAATGCTGGCGAGAAGCTACAAAATCTTGTCAAGTTAACGGGAGCAACTGCACTGACCGTAGAAGATTTTCTCCATAATACCAACCCGACGTACAAGCAGAAAGTTCTACCTCTGGACTCTCTGGCTTATGTGCTCTTTACCTCAGGATCAACCGGTATCCCAAAAGGGGTGATGGTCGATCATCGGAACTTGGCATCGTTTCTGTCCTCCAAAAGAGGAAGTACTGACTGCTCATGGACTTCGAACAGACTCGCGCTGCTTGCTCCTACCTTTGATGCGGCAATGGGAGATTTGTTCGCCACGATCTGCAAAGGTGGTCGACTCTTGTTGGGAAAACAACAGGATATGCTCTCCGGGTTGAGTCATTGCTTAGAAGATCTGAGTGTCACACATCTGTCACTAACTCCCACGTTGAGTACGCTGATACTGAACGACCTTGACAACGAAGGGTTATCTTTCATGCGCTCTTTAGTCTTTGGGGGTGAGACTTTTCCAGTCAGTATCCTGGGTCGTGTACCCAGTTCAATAACGGTCTGGAATGGTTATGGCCCTACCGAGACGACCATTGAAATAGCAGCCTGCAAGGTACAAGGACCAGATGTTGATGTTTGCGGAGGCCGATCGTTTGTTCCCATTGGAGAGCCGGGCCAGAACAGACACATTCGGGTGCTATATCCCGGAACTACGGAGCAAGTCCCACTGGGTTCAGTTGGCGAGGTGTGCATTAGTGGACTACAAGTGACACAGGGCTATCTAGGCCAGCCTGAGTTGACCGCGGAACATTTCATACCAGACCCGTTCTCACCGACGGGACGGGGGAGAATGTACCGTACGGGAGATAGAGCAAGACTCCACGGAGATGGATACCTTGAGTACCTTGGTCGCATGGATGGGCAGATAAAAGTTCGAGGCTTCCGAATTGACACTGAAGAGATTTGTTCGGTAGCGCGGAAGCATCCGCAAATCATTGCGTGTGCAGTGATTAAGCTTCAGGGCAACGGAACTGAGACCCTGACAGCGTGTGTTGAAGTGGAGCATCAACTCAAGCTCGGAAATGTCATATGTGAAGCCACAATTAAGGAGCATCTGGCCCAAAGCCTTCCCGCCTATATGGTTCCAGCCTTCATCTGGGTGCAGACAAAACCCTTACCTCGTACGACAAGTGGCAAACTAGACAGAATCGGTATTGCCAAGATGGCCGAGGACAAGCACAGCGAGAGTTCAAAAGACCGTCTGGGGCACTCTCATGTGCCTGTGCACGCTGCGCCGGGAAGCCTAGAACACAAGATAGCTTCACTCTGGGCACAGGTGCTAGGGGTCAACGAAGACTCAATTGACGTCACGGCAGCATTCCATGAAATGGGCGGTGACTCCATTCGCGCCGTAGCATTGCTCGCAATCCTTCGTCGACAAGAGCTGCACCTCGATCTGATAGACGTTTCACAGACTTCAACAGTACGGTCGCAAGCAGCCAGAATTGGAAAGGGGTCAGCCGTCAGACACAATGCGAAATACCTACATTTCCAGATGCGCCAAGGGAGTGTGGCAACAATTGTCCTTGTTCACCCATTCCTTGCGCAGTCCACTGTTTTCAAGCCTCTGCTGCCATTACTAGACGACTCGTTTGATGTGCTTCTAGTCGATGACCCATTTATGGGCACAGCCAGTTATCCCAGAACGCTTTCTCAATGGGCCAATCATTACTTGACCGATATCAAGGAACAGATTCAGACCGACTACCCCGTGCTATTTGGGGGGTATTCATTTGGTGGTCTCATTGCATTCGAGATGGCCCAAAAATGGGACCAATTATACGGAGCCCATTCCAGCTCCGTAGTCCTGCTCGACCCTGGTACTTACGAGATAGATAATACAGTACCGGAGAGTGAAAGTGAGAAGGACAGCTTGATCATGAAGTCGCTGGGCAGGTCGGAGATCAGTCCTCAAGACATCTTGCCGCTTCGAGAGTGCTTCGATGGATACGTGAGAGCCTTGAAGGAATCAGAGTGTCCACCAATATATGAGGGTAATTGCCTTCATGTGGCGTTGCCCGATCGGCTTCAGGATGGAGTGGTCGATTGGTGGAAGAAGTGTTGTCCCAACATCACTTTGGGCGTTGTCGACTGCGACAATCATTACACGTTGATGAGGGATGCAAAGTCCCTGACAGTTATCAGTCAGTTAATCAATGAGCATTGCCACGCCATTATAGAAGAGAACCGAGCGGTGAGCAGTGCGAGTTCAGAATCCCGATTGTATGGGGGATCTTCGAGAACCGACGTGTCGCTGGAAGATGGAGACGCGAAGGAGCAGCCCAGGTGACCGGTAGGCCTAGCTAGGCCTTGACAGGACTAGCGCGTCTCTTCGTATCTACATCCCGATACGGGATAGTCGGTCTTGCATAAACAGTTATGCTTAGTCATCTATGAAAGACTCCAGAAACAAACAACTTGAGCAGTCATAGAAAGTCAGACAGCCTATCTCACTGTAAGAGTCCTGACTGGTTTCCTCCGTAGGTCTCCCGATTCCCAGATTTAGATGCCACAATCTGAAACCTTCGACCGGACACATTAGTTCGGTTTGGGGCTAGACGAGCGGATCAATCATGAACATTAACTTCATCCCGCAAGGGTTACAAGGCCCGCTGCGCTAACCCATTCGCTGGAAAATTCGCCGAGGTACTACCGCTCTTACCTGCAGTTTGCTGTATCGACAAACTAAATACCACGCAGGATCACACAGCCAAACGCCTGTCAGCACTAGTCCATAATAAGCTCCGCTGCCTCGAACCTTTCACTTGGAGCTGAAAATCATGGTCCAGATTCCCGCCTAAGGACAGCTATATGTAGAGTTTGACCTACACGATCTGAAACTTGCTTATCTTCAATCATCTACCACCACATAGATCATCATATATATCGGAGACTCTACTACCTAGTACCCTCCATTAGTAGCTCAATTTTGCAACCCCTGAGATATATACATAGTATCAACACACAACTGCATCAAAATGGGCCAAACCCCCTCTACACCCCAGCCCGGCACCAAACTTCAAGTTATCGGCGCAGGCCTCCCCCGCACCGGCACAGCATCCTTCAGCGCGGCCTTAGCTATCCTCCTCGACGGCCCCGTCTACCACGGCGGTACGCAGACAACAATAGGCCCACCAGACGAAATCACGACATGGATGAAAATCATGCGCCTCGTACTCAACGAAAACCCCCTTGACCGACAACAAGCCCTCACCCTCATCGACCACCAATTAGACGGATACGCCGCCATCACCGATGCCCCCGGTTCCCAACTCGTCCCGGAGCTGGTGGAAGTCTACCCCGACGCCAAGGTCATCTGCACCGTTCGCGATCCGGTAGCGTGGGGTAAGAGCATGACACAGGTGGAGGGTCTTGTGCGATCACCGTGGTTTCTTCAAGTCATGTTGCTGCCGCTTCCCGGGATGAGGCATTTCGTGGATTATCTGGGGTTGACTGCGTTGCAGTGGCGAAGGATTTATGGGAGGAATGGGGGCCCCGGAGGTGCTTATCATAAACATATTGAGTGGCTGAAGGAGGTTGTTCCGGAGGAGAGGTTGGTGTTTGTTGATGTTAGGGATGGGTGGGAGCCGCTGTGCAGGGCGCTGGGGAAGGAGGTGCCGAAGGGTATACCATTCCCGCGAATCAATGATTCCGAGGCGATAACCCGGACTGTAAGACAGCATGTTCGTCGTGGGTTGATTCGGTGGGTGGGTCTGTTTGCTGTCGTTGGTGCAGTATCTTCTGGCGTGTATTTTCTGCAGAGGTGAAGAGAGTGTGATTGGCGTGTATTATTTATTCGTCTTTAAGCTCTCCATGGGATCCAGGAGGAGATACTAACCGGAGAGGGGGTTGTGTCAGTCACATTTGTATATATTTAATAATGTATACCCATTCAAAACTAAGTGTATAGTGCTAGAGATGGGGTATTCTAGGCATGAGGTCCCCCTACATAGGGACTACTACTAGTACTAGTAGTAGTACTAGCAGTTCGCATTTCAAGACGCCTGTCTGAATGGCATGCATCACATATATATAATCAGTTATAACTCTCACGGCAACAAATGCAGGGCCAAGAGGGAAATAGAGCATGTATCCGGGTAACACCACACACGAATCCATATCCTACGGACTACAAGTGAGAGATTAGTAGCATATTTTCGGTTTTCGATGATCGCTCAATCAATTCGAGGAGAGGCCGATCAGTTGAGGTTTCCCTTTTGGGCAACTGGCATTAATACGGGATATCGTTACACACGGTATATTACCACCAAACCAGGCATCAATACCATTGAAACAACCCTAACCGACCAGAACATCTGCCAAATTTCGGACCCCAGGAACCTCCCTGTTCACAAGTCAGTCAATAAGCCAGTCTTCTCATCTCTATTACTTTCTAAAAAAAAAAAAAAAAAAAAAAAAAAAAAAAAAAACATGCAAGACAAGAGGCAACTCACATTCGACGCATCCATCAAGGAGAAGTGATTCCCCTCAGCGCGAATCACTCGCACATTATCCAGCAAATCCTCCCACCCCAGCGCCCCGTTATCGACCCGATCATCCAAGAACAAGTGAACATCTTCAGAGTGCAGTCAAGGCCACATACTCACCAACTAAGCTTTCGGATAAATCTACTTAAATTCAGGTATTCATATCACTCGCATAATAGTTTGAGACGCTGCGACTAACGGTTATACAAGTCTGTAACCCGAATTAACACACACTCTCTCCCTCCCCGCGCCCCTTGCTGCAATTACCCGAATAGGCTATGGGCAGCTCCACGGTGGCTGTCAGATACCAAGTACAGCACTTCTGCATCCAGTCAAAGCCTATGCTCCATGAGCACATCACTGAAGCAAATATTTAGATCCCAGAATCCGGCCAGCAATCCATAACTCCCCCGCCCTCACGCACAGCGACCACCACCGAGCCTTCACCGCGCAATGGATTTCCATCCCACAATACAAAATCACCTGTATATGCTTGGCTAACATTGACCGCACTCTTGAGCCCCAGAATTTGTTCAATGTTGGATGATACCAGCGCAAGAGCCTCCTTGTCGCTCAGTCCAGCTTGCTTAGCTGCCCAGCGCGCCTCCCGCGCTAACCCATGGAGTCTGGAATCGCCTTGCAACGCTAAACCCAGTTGCACACCCGCTTCAATCAGCACCTTTGCTGAGCTGTCGCTGAGTGGCGGCCCTGGGAGCGCATTCTTCTTCTCCCATCTATCAGGCGCTCCGAGGTTGCCAGTTAAAATAACTGGGATGCCTGCTTCGGCTAGGGGTTTGGCGACCTGATCGGAAGGTGTAAGTTATAATGGGACTAGCGGGGATTGAAATGGAGGGTGACTTACGAGAGCAGCGCTATGGCCACCGTATATAATCAGATTAGTCGCAGGGAAGTCTCGTTTAACCAAAACCAATTGCGCGATGTCGTCCTCATTGTATGTCTCAACCACCAACGGAAGGGAGCCATTCGCAGCTTGTGCATACACGCCGTGCTGCTCTGCGTCGCTCTTGCTGCCCTCCTGCAAGATCTGACGGAGAGTCTGAATTCCCGAAGCAACAGTTGGGGTATCTCCGTCTGACAGAATTTGTTAGACACATATTCTTTTGTTTCGTATGAAACCGAACTACTCACCTTTGGCCCCTTGCCCGATCACGAAATGAAGCGCCACATCGTCCTTCCAGATTCCACCATCTAGTATCGTCACATTGGGTCCAGTTCTCAACCCCACACTGACACCTCGGACAAGTCCACTGCCATGCGGCGGGGTGATAGCTCTCGTGACTCCTCCAATTCTCGCTCTGCCAAATGCAACCCCATGGAGGTGGGCACCATATTTGGCAAAGTGGACGCTTTTTGCTTCATTCAGAATGTCACCAGTTGGGCCACTTGATCCGTCACCTGTCGACTCCTCAGACGAAATTGCTTGTATTCCAAGGTTGTTTCCAAAGGCAATCAGTCCGGGAGTGAGGTAACCATTGTTCAGCGCTACCTCAGTGACTCCCTCGTCCTCGCCCCTTAGGCAGGTTTGCTTCGCACCAAGACACGCAAGTGTGTTGTCTTCGACCACAAGGACCAGATCATCGGTCGCTTGATCAAGACTCGGGCTGTCAATCAGGGCTTTCTGAATACCAGTGAAAACGAGGCGCGACTTTGAGCAGACATTAGTCCGCTGATCTAGATCAATCGTCGGTCGCGTCTCTGGTACACGTTGCAAATCATCGACGCCAAAAGAAGAAGATTCATCTGCAATGTCTCCCTTCTGCAACAACGGGCGTCCGTCAATGAACACCTCGACAGCCGTAGCACCGACTTGGAGCGGATGGCTGTCCCAAATAACAATATCGGCGTCGTAACCCGGACGAAGGTATCCGATGCGGTGGCTCTGCTGTACTGAATGGGCTGGAACTGAGGTGACTGACTGTAGGGCCTTATCGGCTGGTAGGCCAAAGGAGTGAGCAATGGAGGCTTGATCGCTATCCAAGTGTCAGCAGTCTTATCGGGAGAGGTGTTAGGAAGCGACTGACAGAAGATATTTGGCATAATTCTCCTCCCCGGTATGATCCTATATTGATATTAGTATGTCGCATTCATACGGTTCCGAAGGTCGTTCTCATACCGACTTGAAAGCAACCCGCACTCCATGTTCGTTGAGTATCTTCCCTGCTCGCAGATTCGCTTCATAGGCCTCGGCCTTGAACAGCGCATTGTCCGCGAATGTAGCAACGGTGACATTCCTGCATTTATTAGTTGGCACCTAACTCACAGACATGGGATGTATACTCACGGCTCTAGACGTTTCAGCAGCTCAGGCACCTGCCACGCTTCCAAGGCATGGTGAAAAGCTCGAGGATGAATGCCAAACTCATGGAGTACCACCAGCATACGCTCCAAATCCTCCGGTGTATAACAATGAACATTCACATTCAATTCTCCTCTTATCAAGGCCACGAACGTAGCCAACTCGAATGAATCCGGTCGCCGCCCTTGTTGTTCAAGAAAGCGTGATATATGCCGAGCTCGATCAAACCTGGTGTGCTCGATTTCCAACGCTCCGCGACACCAAGCAGCCTGACGCTGCTCGATTTCGCGTGCCTCTGCGAGCTTCTCCCGCAACAGCCAGGCAAGACCCATGCGGGTATGTTGATAATTGCGTTTCGGGTTTTCACCACACGCCATTTTAAGATACCGCCGGCGGTCTTGCTCTGGGATACCGTGCTCCAGGAGCAGTTCCTCGATTATGGGTTCACCGTGTTCACCTGGAAAAGGCAGATTCTTGATAGGGTATGCCTCACCGCCGACGATGTTTGCTGAGCCCGGTAGAACAAGCGAAGAAGTGACACCGCCCGATGCGATGATCCTAATGGCTGGATCGGACGGCGTGAAGCCGTCGATTGCGCGCACAAACGGAGTAATGGGTCCGAGTGACTTCTCGTTCACGTCACTTGTTGCTGCCACTTGAGGAAATGGCATTAACAGGTGATGAGAGTGCATATCCACTAGGCCTGGCGTGACATGCTTGCCGTGGACGTCGATAATGTTTGCGTTCTCGGGCGGAGCATCACCAGAGCCAGTGGGAACAACGGAGGTAATAACACCAGCCTCGAAGAAGATGTCTACAGCGTCTGAGAGTGTCGACTCGCCGTCAAAGAGGGTCGCATTTTGGATAACGACCGGGGTGGCTTGTCCAGAGACCGGGTTCCATCGGGGATTATTCTGTCTTGAGCTGTCCCCAGCATCTGGCACATGCAGTTGGCGTTCGGCATCATAGCATTGTTGCAGTCCATCATAGAAATCGTGATGCGTGGTTGCACTGGTTGACAATAGCAACTCCCTTGGATTCGCTCCGACCAGCAGAATTGCCGCGGCACAGATCCCCGCACAAATTGGCAATTGCCATTGTCTTGTTGCGCGGCCTCGCGGTCGTCCAAAGGACGAGGTCCGATACAGCGGGATAAACGTGTCCTCCTTGACAGTCATTGTCGAGTCCACCGCCACACAATGAAGTGGAATTGACGAAGGTAAGAAGTGACGGCTATCGCGGGGTGAGGTAGTCGTTCGACCCTTGCGTGACTGCAAGCCGGTACGACGTCAGCATATCTATTGCGTGGGTCCGACCGCATTTCTTATCAGATAAGTATCATCTATCTGTCCTGTCCACTGTTAGGGCAGACTGCAATTGGTGGTTGCCACTGCATTTAGTAAGGATCCCTCATTCTTCTGCCATGTGTTTACAAAACCTAATTGAGTGTTTCTATCCAAGCAGGAGCTTGAAGCTAACGCGGGGCCGACCGAGAGCTGCTTTGCCCCCATTAAGCCGCGACGGATGAAGCTCTTGGCATGTCTTCCCGCTTCGGCCAATCTTCACCGTCTTATCGACAACCCGCGAACAATTCCATTACATCTAGTGCTGACAGCGGATCATTGAAGCCTAAGACCCATCTGGCAAATTTTAAACGAGCCAACCTATCCCATAACTTTTCAGCCTCTCTTGGTAACCGGATCAGTGGGGGCCATTTTCTGAATCGCGATCATTTATTAAGAGGCGATTCCCTTCTCATCCCTACATTACCAACTTAAATTAGCCATAATCTATTCTACCTCTCCTGGATCGCAATATGCCCAACCCAACACTAGTCTTCTGTGCCGGTGCCTGGTACTCACCAGTAGCATTCGGCCCACTCATCGAAAAGCTCCCCGACTATACCTGCCGTACCGTGGCCTTCCCCTCCATCGAGCAAGCCACTGAGGTCAAAGACCTCCAACCGGATATTACCGCAGTCCGCAGTGTCGTCGAAGAGGAATGCGATGCCGGAAATGACGTTGCAATTGTCTTGCACAGCTGGTCTGGTCTCCCCGTCAGCAGTGCCCTCGATGGACTCAGCAAGACGGAGCGCCAAGAAGCGGGTAAACCAGGCGGCGTGGTGAAGCTCATTTACCTCTCGGCTTTCATTCCAGATGTTGGCGAGAGTTTGATTGGGGCGTTCGGAGGGGTGGCGCCGGACTGGTATGTTCGGGATGTGAGTATACCTTCTCCGTTAGTTGTATGTTAATAAAAGTGAATTTCTAATGTGGTATAGGTGGAGAATGGCACCGTGACGCCGGATGATCCTTTCAAGTTATTCTTCCACGATGTTCCCGATGGACAGAAATGGGCCGAAACACTACGACCTCATGCATGGGCGACTAAGAATAGCCCTGCCACGAGTGCAGCGTACCTGCGAATTCCAAGTGCCTATCTGCTATGTGAAGATGATCGGGCAATTCCATTATTTGCGCAAGAAGGGATGGTCGAAAAAGCACGAGCTAAGGGAGCCACGTTCGAGACAGACAAGGTTAAGACGGGACATACGCCGTGGCTGGTGGTGCCGGACCAAGTGGTGGAGTTTGTGAAGAGACATGCATGAGATTAATATAAGTAATTTATAGAGCAGCCAATTCGATTGATCGAATCCTTCCATTCACACCCTGCTCCCCTTCCAAATGAGGGGTTCGAGCATTGAGACACAATTAGTGACGGGTGGCCCCATTACCGGATTCCGTCCGCGCCTGTCTTCCTGCATGAAGCTAACAACTTAGTTGCTTGGTTTAGTCTTCCCATTCCCACTTAATATCCTGCTCAACTGTACTTCTACTGGTTCACTCCCCTCAGGCGGAATATATAATACCCCTTTTCCTCGATACCATCAGCCCGGTAGGGCATTGCACCTTTGTGCAATTCCAATCTCCACAAACCCCCAAACCCTGCATAAGTACTACCTCTCATGCTCTTCACCACCACGGCCACAACAATGGCACCGAAAACGCCCGAATCACCACCCCATCGAGGTCTTCTCATCCCCGAAGTCCTCGAACGCATCCTTATCCACCTAGACATCCGCACCCTCCTCCTCTCCCAACGCGTCTGCACCGCCTGGGCCACAATAATCCAAGAAACCCCATCCCTCCAACAAGCCCTCTTTTTCGCCCCAACCCAATGCCCCGAAGAAGACATCATCTACAACCCCCTCCTCATCGAACGTTTCCCACCCTTCTTCCCAAATACCATCCACAATGACCTCGCCAAACCAAGAGACTGCTACCCGCCTCATTTCCTCCCCATGCAATACGTCGGCGATGACTGCGCCTGGAGCCACCCCGTCAAAGACGACCTCACCCGAGCACAAGTCTTCTATTCCGAACTCCCTCTCCAGAAATATCCCCTGCGCCGAAAGGCCTACCTCCATCCCGAGGCCTCCTGGCGCCGCATGTTAACCCAGCAGCCGCCCGCACCAAACATTCCCGTTCTCCGCGTTTGGTCCTACGCCAGATACAAGACGTTTGATCGATACCGCATCCCAGGCACATTGAAAGATGTGATGGATCTGGAGAGATACGTCAAACAAAACCCGAAAGACTCCGAGCCTTCATCTCCCCCCGAGGATAATAATACCATCGACCCCGAAAACAACGGCGTCACAATGGGCCTCCTCTTCGACTACGTAACCTGTGATCTGGATCTCAAGTGGTGGATGATCATGTGGGGTGATCTGCCCCCCGTGTCGATGGCGCTGGAGTTGGGACCGGAATATGTAGAGGCTTATAAGCGCGCAGCGAAAGATGGGAGTATTGTGATCCTCACATTTCAGATCGTGCAAGGGTTCGAGTGGTGGTATGATATTGCTGGGGCGAATGCGAAGAATTTGAGGTTTCGTATTGTCGATGAGTATAGGGCGAGGGGGTGGGTCGGGGAGAGGCCGCCTACGTTTTCGAATCGGTTGAGGACAGTGGAGAAGGGGAGCTTTCCGCATTTTTCGACAATTGCGCCGTTTCTGGCGAGGTATTTGGCGCCGGGGTAGGGTTGTGCTATAGTGGTGTGCCTCTATGTTTGAAATGCCTCTGTTTTGTTGTCTGATTGCGTGTAACGAATACAAAGTTGGGGGTTTGAACGCTCTACTAAAGAGATCAGAAGGGATATATTGCGTCTGCTTAGTGATTCCTAGAAGATATTGCAGTACCATTATTTCCATGGCATACGAGCTTGTTCTCCTGGAGTATGTATCAAGCGTAGCACGGAACTAAAATCACCAAAACTAAGTACCAACCCTACTGCTCAGCCTTGATAATATCCGCCGCTCTCTCCGCCACCGCATACACAGTCGACATAGGATTCGCAGCGGGAATAAGAGGGAAAATACTCGCATCACACACCCGAAGATTTGTAGTCCCATACACCCGGAGGTTCTCATCCACCACACCTCCTTTTTCCTGTGGGAGCATCGCCGCTGTACCAGATAAGTGGTAACTCGTAGTAGCAGTGTCCCGCAGATACTTCTTCGCCGATTCCAGATCCGTCAGAAACGCATCCGGATGATTTCGCTGTCCGCTCTCTACTAAGTAATCTGCGATAGGTTTGACGTTGTGAAGTCGCTCAACACTTAACAGGTTTCGCGCCATTAAATCCAGATCCAGCGGATGGGAAAAGTAACGAGGGTCAATGATTGGTGGCACCGTTGGATCTGCTGACGCGATATGGACAGCTCCGCGCGAGAAAGGTAGATTCTGGGTGATTCCCAGACTCAGAAAATTTCCGGGTAGGAGATTCTGTCCCACAAAGCTCTTTCCGGATTCGTGTAGATTTGCCTGGGCGAGGAACATGAACATCTGACAGGTTGGTTCATGTTCTTGCGTGTAAATGTCGCGGATGACTTGGTCGCGCTCGTTGGCAACGGGTGGGAAACTGTCGAGATATGCCTGTCGGGCTTCTGGTTGCCCGGAGTGGTCCGTCAGTGGCATATATGCGGAGGATTGGATGCCTCCGATGGTCATAGGTCCTGTCTTTTGCTCCGAGTAGAGTTGGAAGGCAGTTTGGATTGTTTCGGGCTCTTGTCGTAGCAGCGGGTCCCCGGTAGCAATCCCTGACTTCACTTCGAAACTGATCCCGGTCATGAGATGATCTTGGAGGTTCTCTCCCACGTTTGAGTTTTCCACGATGACAGGTATGGAAAGCTGTTCGAGCCTCTCCTTGTCCCCGATGCCCGATAGTTCCAGGAGTTTTGGGGTATTAACGGCTCCGGCGGTAAGAATAACTTCTCTTCTAGCCTTGACAGTGACAGTTTGTCCATCGATTTTGGCTTCTACTCCAACGGCCATGGCACCGTTATCGCTAGTGGAAAAAAGAATCTTCTGAACAGTAGCTTCAGTGAGGATCTTGACATTTTGCCTCCCCATAGCTGGCAGACCGTATCCCGTCGCGGCGTAACTCCGCTGCTTCTTCTCGTAGTCAACGGATGCCAGGTTGGAATAGCCACCAGTGGATACACCGGAGAATGGATCTGCCGTACAGCCATACCCCATTCCCTGGAAAGCTTCTACCCAGGCTTTGGCCATGGGACTTTCCTTCACAGCAGGAAAAGAGACCTTGATGGGACCTGAGCTGCCGTTGACCTCAGGATCAACCCAGCCGACCCCAATATGATTGCGGGTAGGCTCATCCGGCAGCTGCAGCGTAGTCGCCTTCTTATAGTAAGGAGCAAGATTTTCCCATGTCCAACCAGTCGCACCTAATTTGTTCCATGCATCGATTCCCGCTTTCGTGGGCGCAATAAAGGCCTGTCCATTGATACCTGATGAGCCTCCGAGAACCTTGCCTTGTGGTTCCTTGATGACTCGGTTGTTGAGTGCAGCCTGACACCATCAGTCAGTGTTCGGGGAACACTCGATGAGAATCTGACTGGGACATACTTGAGGAGTTGACTTAAACTGCCAGTCTGTTTCAGACCCCATCAGGGTTGTCCAAAGAGCGGGTGTTTGGACCCGAGGGTCATCGATGAGGTTTTTTCCGGCTTCAAGGACAATCACCGACCGAGTGGAGTCATTCTCGGACAATCGAGAGGCGAGTACGAGGCCTGATGTTCCTCCGCCGACGATCACGTAGTCAGCCTCAAATGGAGCGTGTAACGAGGAAGACATTAGGTGTAGCTATGATGGAGTTTCGATGGGATATGAAAGAAATAAAAGCAGCGAGCTATATAGGACTCTAAAATGCTTATTTGAGAGAGGGACAGATTCTAAGTGTCGCCAGGAAATCAACAGAGACAATCATTCTATTTATACGAGAAATTAGAGAGTGAGGAAAGCAGCATGCGATACTTGATCGACCCCCGATGGTAGTAAGACCGTCAGTTTGCAGCCTCGTCCACCCACCAATCGAAGCAGTTCGGGTAATCCTGCCGCTTGCTAAACGAGGGACACTTCATGATATTAGGATCCGCTATCTCCACAGCCTCCCAGTAAGATAGATACATCATACAAATACTATCTAGTTAGTAGCATGATTTTGTTGCGCTGAGTCAGCTTCACTGAGCATCCTGATGGCCCCCAAACGCTCAAACTTCCCACTTTCCGTTTGTTGGAATGGAAGCTGATTTAGAGCACGCATTGAAACTTGCTAATGCTTGCATGCTACCTGTTGAGCTTATTCCCTATACGCATGCAGGTTTCTTGCTTTCTGTCTGTTCCGCATGGCGGACTGGCCCAACTGGGATATGCGTGAACGCAGGGGTTCGGGTTCGCTCGGGTTGTGTACCTCCACAAACATCATTACTGCCGTCATTCCTGTTCTTCTTGTGTAACATTCTATTGCATGATATAACTCAGACATGACTGTAAATAAGCACATACGACCACAGGGTGTGGAAAACAGGGCTTCCCGTCCGCTCAGCCGTACTTAAGCCACACGCCGGGAGGTTAGTAGTTGGGTGGGTGACCACCAGCGAATCCCTTCTGTTGTATGTTTTTATGCCTCTTTTTTTATCATGCTACTAAGTGAACCAAGGGAGTCATTGTTTATTGCGATAGTAATAGAATATTGCGGTAAATAAGAATAAATTTTGCGGAGGAAAGATTGACCGAGGTAGGGCTTTATAATTAACTCTTCTGAAAGGCGACAGAAACGCAGATGTCGCCGTAAGATCGAAATACACATTCATTGTACTTATACGAGAAACAAAGAGCGAAGAAAGCAGCATGCGATGCCTACCGGCGGTGCGTAAGACCGTCATCCTTCAGCCCAGCTGATCCAACCAACTAAAGCAGCTCGGATAATCCTCACGCTTGATCAACGAGGATCCTTCAAGATGTCGGAAGTCCACAAGATGTTGGGTTTCTGCCGTCTCTACAGTAGTCCAGGAGGGCGAGATGATCAGTAGCCGAAAAAGTCTCTAACTATTATTCAATGCGGAACGGCAAGGAAACGCTATGTATGACCTCATGACTCTCGATACTACCTCACGCCGTTATTCCCGGGTGTTCCGCTCTCCAAAAGGTCATCTTTTCTATTGAATCTAGAGTTTACTCTGATATTTTTGTAGTTAAGAGATCCGGTGTATAAAAGTCTGCAAGTCTGAGGTTTCTATACTGAGGGAAG